TCTAATGGGTTGACTGGTGGTATTATCACCCAAAATGGGCAAGGGTTCTGCTAACTGATTCTTCAGATTCATGCGGAACTCAGGTTCTCGAGAAATTGCACATTGAGCCTATGCCAAGACCTCGGGTACTTGCACACATCTGGACATTCCATGCTGCGCTCCATTTGCGCACCCCGCCGCACCGCGACCCAGGACTCATGTGCTGGATGAAGTCATTCGAGAGGTGGACGAGGCCGGCCAAAGTCGCGTGCGAACATGGCTGAAGAGTAATGCGTGGCTTTTGGTATCGATGTTGGCAAAAAGAAGGAGGCAGGCTGGATAAGCGTCCAACTGGATGCCAGGCAGGACACGGGGAGCTGGTCTACGAGGAGTTCAAGCACCTCATGGACTTACTAATCCTTCGGGAGGGCTTCACTAGCAGCGAGTACGACCAGTTCATGGAGATGTTTGCAGCTTGGCTGTAATGAGCTCCCATCTCACCGATCCCAGTTTTCTGACAAAGACTTGAGTCCATTGTTTCCAACATGCAGGCAAGGTTTGACAGGGACAATTGCGGCAAGATCGATGCGCAAGAGTTCCATGCGGTCTTGAATTGGCAGCTAAGCTGCAGTTTGAGTGGTGCGGACTGCTCGTCAAGCACACTCTTTTGACATCCACTGATGTCGGTCTACAGGTTGGGCTATGCTATGACAGTGGAGGATCTGCTGCCGATTATGAAGGATTCAAACGTCAAGCTGACGGGTGTGATGAACCACCGCGAGTACTTGAGATGTGCCCTTGCTTGCAAATGTGCACACGAGAGACAGACGGCAACTGCTGCAGCATTCGCAACATCACCCATTCCAACTTGTGCAGTGCGAAACCTTCCTACGTAACTCCATCTTTTCCAGTCGCTCTAGTAGTAGCCTTCGAAGCTGTCAGCTACGTGTAGAGCGCACGGCCGTCTTGATTGCCTGCCCTTTCAAGGCATAGCTGCAGCTACCAGCGAGCCGGGCCCTGCAAACTGAGGCCTCCGCAAGGTGCGAGAGCACGAGCTGCAGAAGGCTCCGGCTGTGCTGAGGTTCTGATTCCTAGGCACTTGCGACGTTTCTGCGCGAGGTCCGTCGGGTGTTGGCCACCATTTCAGGGCAGAGTACCAATGGCACCATCTGCCTGCAGCAGTCCGTGACTCTTCCTGCACATAATGCTTCCATGAACCACTTTTCCGATACTATTTTGCTGGGCCGCCGTCATGAGGATGTCCCGGTCGTTTTGAAGCAGCTGGGGTACGACATGTGGGATAATCAGGCCATTAGCGAGGTGACCTGGCGCAATCAGATTAAGTCTCAGCTTTAGCTATCAAGCCACTTTTGTTCGTGATGCCTCACAGAGGCTGCATCAGAAGCTGGACTTCGGGGAATGAGCACGTCGCCGGCTCGGGCTCGGGTGCGACTTGAGGGCAATGAGCAACCTTCGAAATCGGAGCGAAGCGGGAGCAGATTCAGGCTGGACTTGAGTGCTCTCTGGCGGCTTTTGCTGGTCTACCGCCAGCGAGAGGCCGAACAGCATCGCAACAAAAAACGCAGTCTGTCTGTCTGCAGCGGGGCTCTTAAGCAGACCCACTCTGAACCACGGGCTCTAAGACTCTAAGCATGAAGTCACAGGTAGTCACTTCGAGTGCATTTCGGTCGTTTTCTTAACTTCATAAGGCTTGGCTTCTCGCCACCCTGATCTGGAGATGTGCCGCAGGGAATGCGGAACGAGGAGCTGCAGAGCATCGATGCAGCTTTCCGCAGGAACGACCAGGAGTGGACGTCTCGGAGAACGGAGCTAGATACGTTTTGTAGTGCTGTCAGTAGCCTTCACTTCTTTGTCGTGCAGTTTTGTCTCCCCTTGCTTGGTTGCCTGTTTGCTTGCAATGAAGCCCTTTTTTGTTGCGGGGTCGGGCAGCAACCGAAGACCATCTCTGAATCCTAGAAGCTTCGTGCTATGGGAGCTCAAAGCTTCCCAGCCGCCAGGACGGCTCGGGCGAGCTCAACTCCCTGGAGGCGGAGGGACTTCAGGGTTTTGGGGTTCGAGCTCAGGACCTTCTGGGTTTAGGGTTTAAAAGGGAAGTCTCCAGGGGTGGGCCGAGTTGCCCTAGAAAGAAAGCAGGTGCCATCTGCCGTTCGCGACCTTGGGTACAAGGTCAGCTTCGAGGCCCGCAAGTTGTGTGCTTCTGGCTATAGTACAGCATCTCATCAGCACAAGAGGGTTGCAAAGGGCGACTGTGCTTGTGATTCGGCAGGAAAGGAGAGACAACATGCGCACATGCGGACGCGACCTCACTCAAGTTTAGCTTGGTCTGCTGGTAGGCCATGCAGAGTGTCCTGCGGCAGGCGGGTCCTTTTGAAGGGTGCGGCAATGTTGCATTCTGATTGCTTGGTTGCGATGCCTGCGCTGCTAAATCAAGAGCCGTCCAGTTGCTGACAAACGAACCTGATAGTGCAAGCCGCTCGTAGTGCCTCTAGAATCCAGTAGGTCCTGGTTGCTGTGTCAGACAGCAGTGCTCGGGCTATTCTGGGATCAAGTGTAGACCTGCCAGCACTCAGCTCAACAGGTGGATGTTGACGACTCTCATCGACTAGAGCCGAGCTGCACTTACTGGGCATGTTGTAAGGTATCATTACATGGCATATGCAGGGTGCTCGCACTTGCAGAGGGTTGTGCTGCGTGTTCAGGCGACAGTTCCGCAAGATGGTCCGCATGCTGCAGGATGGTCCGAAAAAAAACATGTCCCCGTCGGGTTTGTAGAAAGGAAGTCTGGAGCGATTGAACTGAAGCAAGCATGGGAGGAGCGCGACATGGTCTGCTTTCAGCAGGCACGTGCTGAGTCTGGGTGTCTTACCTGCACAACGGGTGAAGCCAACAGCGATGCTGAGGCCTTTGATGAGCGCGATCCATGCAGTTTGAAGGCAGGATTGGAAAGTTACGGTCAAACACGTGGGTTCCTCTCGTTGCGAAAATTGCGAAAACCTGAATCAGGTCATCACGATGACGGAAGCGGTTCAGGCCATGGTTGCTTGAGGCTTCGCCGATCTGGGAAAAGGAGCTGCATGAGCAAGCGCAGGCCTTTGCAGGTCTGGGCTTTGAAGACAAGGTGCTGCGCTTACTGTGCGGAGCCTTTGCCGTTGTCGGAGCCGGACGTCCTGCGTGAGGGGTACCTCCGCAATGTGGACATGCCCTTGCCGCTGCCCGGGATCGGTGCCGTAGCATCTTGGATCTGATGGGAAGGGTGATGGCACAGGGGCTTAGAGGCTTAGAGAGGTTCAAGTTTCGGAGTGGATGGGGCGTCCATCTCACTGAGAGAGGCCTTGAGACTGCAAGCACAAATCATCCAGTCCGATGCTTCCGCCCCCTGCATTCCTTTACGGAGGGCCTATTTTTGGGATCTTTTTTTTGGTCCTTTTCCTTGGTTTTTCCTAGGGAAAACACAGTTTGCCTTAGACTTTGGACGGATTTCGTGCCAAAGTCGTAGCCTTTCCTAGAAAAACCTTTATTCCTTCTATCTTTTTGAGAGGGAGCGAAGGAAGGAAGGAAGCAAGGCACGCCGATCAACATCTCGCCTTGAAGCAGTCCGATAAGAGGTCGTGCCGAGCGCAACTGTCTTTTCAGATTGGGCATATGTCCTGCGGGTGATATCAAAGGGACCAGCCGGCATACCAGGAATTTTGGAGAAGAACCTGTCTGCCACAAATCTTCCGATCTTCGGCCGCAGCTTTTTGAGCCACGCACGTCTCAACCCATGCCTTGTAGCTGCGAGGCCACCCTTTTCAGTAGAACTGGACCCGCTCAGACTTAGCTGACTCGCGAGCGGAGGCAGTCCCAGCGTGACCGCGCCAGCCAGTAGGTTCGCCTCCGTGCAGACAAAGAGGCTGCAGCGGCTGCGCGGCGTGCACTGTGCTGTGCACGCAAGTAAGCTCGCAAAACAAGTGCTTGCGTGCCTGCCTCCCATGCTACACCTGAGTCACATGACATGGTGTGACTTTGCATCTTTCCGAGTACTACAGTGTGCTGCAACAAGAACACCAGCAACTACTGCTACTGCTACTATTACTGCTGCTACTGCTAGTACTATTACTGCTGCTACTGCTAGTACTATTAAGGCTTTTGGCTCAGGCTTTTTGTTGAGTTGAGTGGTAGGGGCCCCAACTGCGGGCGTAGTAGTGCCATGGCTTTTCCTATGCGCTTCAGTCTAACACTTAGTGTTTTATGGTTGTGCAGCACCGTT